AAGGAGAAGGAGAAGGAGAAGGAGAAGGAGAAGGAGAAGGAGAAGGAGAAGGAGAAGGAGAAGGAGAAGGAGAAGGAGAAGGAGAAGAAGAAGAAGAAGTGACAAGTTTTCAGGAGAAAGAGTGCATTGTATGTGAAAAAATTGTATAATCTAGACATTTCCAGAATTCTTAGGAATCTAGAAAATTCTAGAATTTCAAGAATTTCTGAATTTCTACCTTGGATAAACAAGTATAGCATTTCCTTCAGAGCTACATTCCTCTGGTTTGCAATGTGCACATGGAAAAATATAAAAGTCATCACAATCTATTTCTCTTTAATGGTTCAGCAAGATTATATAGAGAGAATGATTCAGTATTATGAAGTCAAGTACAGTATAAAAGACGACAATCGATGTTAAATAGGATGAACATTAAACAGGAGAGACAGATTATAAAATTAAACTAGGTGACATAATGTGAAGTTAATGAAATTTAAATCAACAAAAGTTTTTAAATGGAAATTAATATCTAAGTTTTTATATGAATCTCTATTGCCTCTATGTCATTAGTATATTTTATTTGTTTTCTACTTTTTTTCTTTTTCAATCTGATTTTGTTTTTATTTAAGTATTATGGTCACATACAAATTTGTGCTGATGTTGTACCTTCCCCACTTTAATCCTTCTAAAGAGCTGACAAAAAGCACCACTGCCAATCACACAAAAAACAGTACTTTCAATCTTGTGTTTTTAAATAGCTATTTAAATACTATCCTGAATAACTTAGTCCAAAGAATTCAAAAATAAAATCTAATTTACTACTGTATCATGCTTTTAAAAGGATCTGAACTTATAGATCAACTATAAAAGGTTAGAAGTAGGCCGGGGATTTAGCTCAGTGGTTTCGCCGCCTGCTGCGCAAGCGTAAGGACCCAAGTTCGATCCTCGGTACCAAAAAAAAAAAAAGTCTTCAAGACTTGGTATAAAAGGTGAGAAGTGTTAAATATTTTTTATTTAGTATTATACATACACCACCCTAAAATGCCTTTCAGTAAGTAAAAGGCAGCAGTCTTTAGATACAAGGAATTCTAATTAAATTGGCATAGTCAAGATAAAAAATATAGATGTTCCTTCCTGGTCTTTAACCACTGTCTTTAACAAGCTAATAAACAAATTGAAACAGGAGTCTTGCTTGGTTGTGAGACAGTGAAGGATTTCCCTGGTATTTAAACATATTCACACAACCAGTTACATGTATAAATCTAAATATAAAACCAGTAGGTTTTGAGATAACATTCTCCATCTTTGTGAAAATTCGAACATTACTAATCAAGTCCAACCATATTTTTAGAAAGAGAAAACAGTGATAGTATTTACTGAACTGGAATTACGATTAAAATTTGAAAAAAAGATATCCATTTAACTATAAGCCAGTTTTATTTAAATCAGGACTGTCCAACAAAAATACTCTGTCAGCCACTCATGATCTGAATTCTAGTGTATGAGATCTATTAAATTATGGTACACATTAAAAAGCCATGAGACGTTTCTGTTCTGTTATAAATATGGCAGTGACTATTACTCATTAGTAGCTTTTCTGAGGTAAGCTATTAAGTCTGCCCTTTTTCCCTTCTTCTTAATGCCAGTGAAGATCATTTTTGTTCCAGGGATGTACTTCTTGGGATTCTCCAAGTACTCCATCAATGAATGTATCCTCTCCCCAGGTGATGCCTTTGTTCTTGTTGGCATCTGTGTAAGAGAATCCAGCAGCTTGACCTGTCTTCCGCCCAAACAGACCATGGAGATTTGGGCCAGTCTTGTGCTTGCCTCCCTTCTCCACAGTGTGGCACTGGGCACACTTCTGCACAAAAATCTTCTTGCCTTTTTCAACATCACCCATTTTTAAATCTGCTGCGGCTTCCGCATCTGAGGCTTAGCGCTCTTTCGCCGTTACCACAGACAAAGTCCCAGCTCAGAAGCCAGACGTCCCACTCTCTACCTGTTTTCTACTTTTATACTGGTGGCTTCTTTAAAAATTTTTCAAGAAATATATGTTTATTATTCACTAATTGTGGTGGATTAACTAATGGTCAACTTGGAACGCCCAGCCGAACTGAGTCAGTGTGGTCTGGGCTTGGAAGACCCACCTGAGGTTTGTTGCCAATGGCATAAAAAGAGAGGTGGAGGGGAAGATTGCCGGATGTTGATTTTCTTGGAGAAGCTTGCTGTGGCTGGTTTTCCTGATATGAATTTGGCTGTTCTCATTGTCAGAGGAGCTCCGGTCCTTGCTGTTGCCAGGATGTCTGCTGTTCTTATCAGGAGAGCTCTGGTTTTTGCCTTAAGTATCACTTCCTGGCTCCAGTGTAGATCTCTCAGCCTGGTGGCACAGATCCTTCACCCCGCGGTGCAGGCTTCCACCACTGGCCTTTGGGCCTTCTCGTGGACAAGCAGGAGACATTGCCATGGGCTCTAGGCCTCTGGCTGGACTCATGGAGGACACTGCCTCGGGCCCTAGGCCTTCAGCTGGACTTGTGTGGGACTTTGCAGTGGGATCCAGGCCCTCAGCTGGATTCTTTGGATCTCTAGTTTATGGACATATCTTCTGTACTCCTCTGCATTTGACTTTTTGGGTGAATATTATAAAATAATCCTATAAATTATGTGTCCTGTATTAAATCTATTCCCTTGCAAACCCTGACTACAACAGTAATACAAATGAATATTGAGTCAACAGTGAAAGTTCTATAACAGCAATATTCCTGTCATGGGTGCAAGGCATCAAAACTCCCAGAGATCATCACTCTGTGTGTGTGTGTGTGTGTGTGTGTGTGTGTGTGTGTGTGTGGTATTCAGGTTAAACCTAGGGTCTTTGCACTGAGCTACATCCCCTCTACCTCCCCACCCCTTTTGGAGATAGGGTCTTGTTAAGTTGCCTAGGCTGGGCTGGAATTTGTGATCCTTCTGCCTCATCCTCCCAAAGTGCTGGAATTACAGCTGTGCATTGCCACGTCCAGCTCAAATAATTGCTCATGACAGACTAGTGTTCGTCCTTCTTGACTTTTTAATAGTTTTACATGTACACACACATACACATAAGGTCATTTTATGTTTATATTTGTGAAATTTAGGTATGTTGCTCTGTTACATTTATATTTATGTCATTTTAAATAGCTGAAGTTCATTTTGTACATATATTAATAAGTTATATTTTATTTCCCTAAGAAGTACACACAAAAAGATAAAATAGAAATGAACCAATCAGCCAGGTGAGATAATGCATGGCTGTAATCCTAGCTTGCTGGGAGGTTGAGGCAGGAGGATTACAAGTTTAAGCCAAGCCTGGGCAATGTAGCAACTTAGTGAGTCCCTGTTTCAAAATTAAAAATTAAAAAAAAAGGATATAGCTCAGTCCTGGGGCCCAAGCTCAAGCCACAGTACCAGAAGCAAAAAATGAACCGTATAGTCTTTATTCCATTTTAAATGAAAACATTATAAAATAATTTAAATAAGCATTCATTTGTTCCAGCTGCATCTCTTCTTTTTTATGTTGTCAACTTGTATTTTTGGCATGGTTACAAAAAGAGAAAACAATCCACAAATCTATAGGGCTGAGGTGTTGCAGAGGAATCGTGTGTAACAGAAGCACAAAAATGCTTACATGCCTGATCTTTAACAGTAGGGAGTCGAGGAAAATATAATCAACAGCTTATCAAATAAGAGAGGACAGAGGTGAAATACTTAAGCTAAGGTTTTTAAAAAGAAGAATACAGGATAAACAGGAAAATATCATTCAAAAACTCTTTCTGTGCTTCCTCTTCTGGTTGGCCTAGTAAAGCAGAAAGGTGCGATGTTCTTAGAAATAACAAAAATCTCAGGTCTTCTTTGGCTAGCAGAGAAAGAGAAACACAGAGTTCCGTGATGGGATTGTCTAGGTGGCTCCAGGTACATTCTGTTCTCTAGAAAACAATGTTCATGGTCTTGAAGCCACTACTATGGTCATGGAAATTTCCTCGTCTTTTGGGGCACGTGACTAAGGTCTTTAAAGATTTACAGGGCAGCAGTGAGAGCAAACACTTCTAAGGGGGAAGAGGCATTAACTCCATAAAGACTAGGGAATGAAACTCCATCACTCTAGGGAATGAAGGTTTGCTTGCTGTAGGAGAAATTAGCCTCAGAGGAAAACTTCATGCATTAGGTAACAGAACTTCATATACTTAAGGCAAAGGGGAGGGGGGAATATTACTAATAGGAAGGAGAAAATAGCTCTAAGTTTCCTAAGAACCATGTGTCAAGCAGATGTGTGAAGGACTGACAGGGGGACTAGAGATTAGGCCTCCTTCCCCAAGGCTTCAGGAGAGGAGAATCAATACTGCTGGGGGTGACCTCGGGTTCGGTGGCACAGTTAGACAACAGTGGTTATCTGCTATGTGTCACAAGCTCTCAGGAGCTGATAGTGTCCAAACACAGACGACATGCCTGAGGATTATGGAAGCAACAGCTGCTTGTTGGAGATTAGAAGTGCAGACCTCTGAGGTCCCATCCAACCTCACGATCCAGTGTTATGAGAGGAAATAATGGCACACACAGATCCCTGCAGCAGGGCTGACACCAAAGTAAGGGTGGGAGTAAGGACGGGTGACTGTGTGGAGTGGGAAACTATGGGGTGGCTGGAGAATTATTTCTCAGCAGCTTAATTTGAAGTGAATTGCTAAATTGGTGGGCATGTGGGAGCAGGTGAATGAGTCTCTTAAGGAGACACAGAGCCAGCAGCAGGCACCCGTTTCACTCCAGTGGCATTGCACCAGCTTGTCTTGGGCACAAGAGGGGTCCTAGAACTTTCTAGGGAGATGCTCCAAAGCATGGCGTATCCTGAGACAGAAGGCCCCTCTGCCTTCAGTCTGAAATTGTCATTCTGGATTTCCTGAGAAGGCATGGGATTAAACTTGGTAGGTAAACAATATAGCAGGCAAATACTAAATACTGTGTTTAGGATCAAATAATTTTTTTGTTTATTACTCTATTTTAAACTAAATATTTGCCTAATTCTCTCCTTCATTTCTTTATTTAAGTAAGTTAAAATTTGATAACGTGTAGTTTTGTATACCAGTAACTGGAAGAGATGATATGGGATGGATGAGAGTCATATTTTAAAGTTGGGTAATGACAGAATAGGAGATTGAAATTTTTTTCCCACTTGGAAAGAATGATATAATACTGTTGGAGCTCAGAAAATGAAACTCCAAAGTGTGAGTCTTTGGCAGGCTAGGAACTTTTAAATGAAAAGACATTGGTGGCCCTCAGAAGTAGGATCTGAGCCAAAGCCTTTCTGATCTTCTCCAAACCTTTTATCTCCTGTCCTCATTCTCCAACAAAGTGAGTCACAGAAACAAGAATTCCTCTTCTCCAAGGCAGGTCATAGAAACTAGAACCCAATTCCCTCAAAACAAGTCATAAAACCACAAAATATTAACACTGATCTTCTCTCACCTCTCTGTCTAGGAGCTGACGATAAAGAATCTCTCCGACCTTCTCTTGTGTAATTGTTAGGTCACAGGACCCTCATTCCAGGGCAGTCCCTGCCCCATACCAAAGAGGGAAGAATGCGACATCAGAGAGACCAAGAGGAATTTGAATAAACAGGCCTTCCTAGGTTTGCCTGCTTGGTCTATTATAATCATCTCACACCCTTTTTTGAAATCACGTTTCTACACAACTGTTCCTGTCTCATTGAACCTAAGCATATAATAGACATTTTCTCCTATGTCTTTGAGTCTTCAGTGTGAAGGCTTATGTGTCACGTCTTTGATTAAATGTATGTGTTATGCTTTTCTCTTGTTAACCTGTCTTGCTACAAGAGTGTTTGCCAAAGCTTTTGTATACAAGGAGGGGAAGAGGGGTTGGAGGGGAAGATGGGAAAAAAGAAGAGGCAAGATATATCATGTACAGGTACAAATTCTCTATGATGAAAGTTATCATTACTTAAATCTAAAATTACCAATAAATTTTTTGCTTCAAGAACAAAAAACAACACTCCCCACCAAAAAACCCAAGAGTGTTTGCCAAGACTCAATGATGGGAAAGAAAGAGATCAATTTTCCACTCTTACAAAGCTAAGAATTAAGAAACTTCTTCAGTGTCTAATATTTCTAGTTCTAGTTTCAAGGTAGAAGAGAAAAGATGCACACAGATTTTCTCAGTAAGGTAACTTAATCAAAAGTGTTTCAGATGGAGAAAAAGATGTGTAGTCTGAAGAACAAGTCGATATTATGAGATATTCCTCTATCAGAAATCTAGTTGTTTTAAAGCCTGTATTTGTGAAGGAAAAAATATCCTTGGAAAACTTTTAGATACAGAAGTGTTAATTGGACTTACATTTTTAAGCCATTTCTTTGGATTACTTTGCTGTTTTGAAAACAGTGTGGGAGAGATGGCAGTATTGACAGCTGCAATAACGTAGCCAAGAAATGAAATCTCTGAAATAAAAGAACATGGTTTCATGACATTATGGCCAAGACAAAAAAATATAATAAAAATAAATATTTTTCACAAGATTGAGACAGTACATGTATGCGCATTCTCCTGAGACAATATTGCAAGGGGTTACTTTTTCATGAACTTAGACACATTTATTTTTCATTATGTCTTTTACCCTGGAGTTGAAGTTTTTTTTATTATTTGTGGTTTCTTGTTTGTTTTGGTCTTGTCAATATCTTTGAAGATCATAAAATAGGATTTTATGACCATTGCAAATATTTGATTTTCATTCTACCTCCATTCTCATCCAATTTTTGACTTTAGATACGGGCTACGTGCTCATAAAATTTAGAGTCCCAATAGAACTTCCCCCTGAAGTTCAGATTCTTATATCCAACTGATGAGCCAACATTTCTACTTGACAGTCTAATTGGATGTTGAACTTACCACGCCCAAGCCAAACACCTAGCCTGTCTTTCCCATCCTACTCCACTCCCAGTCTTCTCTAGCCTTCCACTGCTTAGGCACAGCCTCAGAGACACCCTTGATTCCTTGTTCCTCATACTCAATTCACCAGCAAATCCTGTGGGCTCTGGCTCTCACATCTCCCAACCTGCACTGCTGTCAGCCTACTCTAAGCCACTGTCAGTTCTTGTCTGCATTATTGCAATAGTGAAAATTCTCCATCCACCCCTCCACCCCTATAGTCCACTTTTAAAAAATCAAAGTCATCCAAAGAGATCTTTAGAAAATCTAAGTTGAATCAACACTTCAGGGACTAAAAGCTTTCCAAGGCTTCCTATTTAACACAGACTAACAGCCAAAGTCTTTTTTTATACCTGCAAAGACTACATAATCTGTGACTCTTCTGGCCATATCTGACCTCATTTCTTACTACTTTTCCCTAGAACCATCCTTCCCGGGAAACTTCTAGGTGGTTTTCAAACAAGCTTCTTCCTCAGGGGCTCTTTACTTGCTATTCATGTTGCCTCTCAGATCTTTGTTCAAATGTCTCCCTCTTCTCCAGGCCTTCCCTAATCATCCTGTTTAAAATTGGATACCACATCCTCCACTATTAACAACATCCACACTGCATTTTCCCTTCTATATATTTTTCTATTAAATGTCACTATTGGACACAACATATATAATATATAATAATATATATAATTTATCATATTTTATTATATATATGTAATAACATACATATAATTTATCAGCATATGTTTTATCTGTTTATCAATTGTCTCTCTTATTTGATTCCACATTTCCACAAACACATACACCATAAGACAAGGACTTCTGTCTATTTTGTCTTCTCTTACATCTTAGAATAGGGGTGTTCAGTTATGATCACTCAAATATTTGTTGGATGAGTAATTTAAAATATGAATGAATGAATGAGGCTCAAAGGGGAAGCAGCTATGCTAAGTATGCCCTCTTTTCTTCTTCTGAACTCATTAATTGGAAAATTCACAAGATAATCTAGTGGAGGGCCAGGGATTTAGCTCAGTGAAATCTGAAGATTGAGGAAATGTAAAAACTTATTAAAAAATCTTGTCAAATAAGATCAGCATTATTCTTTAAAATTGGGAAAGTGGAGGAAAGACTAGCTTCATGTAAGATATCCCAGGAGAAGAAGAAAATTAGAGTTTTAAAGATTAAATTAGAAAAGAAACAAAAGTAAGACTATGTGTGTTAGGAAATATTTCTAAGCAAAATCTCATCTTTAAATCTACTTTTTGTTTTCAAGACTGGAGTAGGTATGTGCAGGGTATAAAATCAACACGCAAAAATCAGTAACATCCCTATAACTAACAGTGAATGATCTGAAAAAATATTAAGAGCAATTCCATTTACAGTAGCTGGCAAAACAAACAAACAAACAAACGGTAATGAAAAACTTAGGAATAAATTTAACCAAGAAGGTTAAAGACCTCTGCAGTGACAACTATAAAAATCTGATGAAGAAAATTAAGGAAGACACCAATAAATAGAAATAGATCTCATGTTCAGGATGGAAAGGACTATAATGTTTAAAATGTATGTACTACTCAAAGGGATCAATGAATGCATGGAATTCTATCAAACTTCCAATGGGATTTTTCACAAAAGTACAAAATATAATTCTAAAATTCATATGGAATCACAAAAGATCCTGAATAGTCCAAGCAATTTTAAACACAAAGAACAAAGCTAGAGGCACCACATTACCTGATTTCAAACTATACTGGAAAATTGTAATTAAAACAGAATGATATGAGAGAAAGAGAACAGATGCACATCAGCTGGTGTAACAGAATAGAGAGCCTAGAAATGAAACTACATATGTATAGCTAACCAATTTTCAACAAAGCTACTAAGAATACATAATGAAAAAGGGACTTTTTAGATAAATACTATTAGGAAAAAGGAATATTCACATGCAGAAGAATAAAATTAGTTCCTTATCTTACCATATACAAAAGTCAGCTAAAATGGATTAAATATTTAATTGTAAAACTAGAAACTGTAAAATTACTAGAAAAAAACACAGGAGAAAACCTGCGTGATACTGGTGTGAGCAATGATTTTTTGGGGTTTTGACCTCAGAAGTTCAGGTAAGCAAGGGAAAAATAAATGAATGATTTTACATCAACTAAAATCTGCTCAGCAAAGGAAACACTGAACAGTGCGAAGAGACAATTTATGAATTGGAAAGAAAATATTTGTGAGCAAGAGTGTGGCTGATATCATTAACCTTGGCTTACCTATGATGTTTGGAACTGTGAAAAGAGCCTCCTCAGCTGCTTTGTCAGTGTCAGCTACAAGGACGGGTCATCGTCTTGCTTGACCATATCCTGTGAAAGCATGGGAGACTTCCCTCTTTGGTGACCTACCTTTTTTGGTATACTGTGCATTGGTTGACTTCTATTCTCTGGGGTCCAACAATCTCCCTGTGGAAAGGGCCCATCACGTCCTGGGTCCTTGTTGACCTTGGAGGGCAGAGTTCAATCCCCGGTACCAAAATAAATAAATTTAAAAAAAAAAGTCCCATCAAAGAAACCTAAATATGGAGACATCACAATCTTCCCTGCTCTCAGCTTTTAACATGGCTCAAGCAACCAACAAAAGGTATAAGCAACCAGTAAACAATGAATGACAATTTAAAAAAAATTTTTTTTGAAAATTTTTGATTAACTAAATGAATCACAACCCAGAATCCAGTCAAAATATTTGGGGAGTGCCATGAAACAAAAACAAACTCTTACCTTCTTCCAGTTATCTCAGTGGGATCTCCAAAATTATTTAGGAGAAATATAACTCCCAACCTGTCAGATGTGTCAAGTTCATGTCCCCTGAAATTAAAGAATGAATTTCAAAGGAGAAAGGAGGTTAAGAATAGGAAAGGTTTATTGGGGAATAGGAATAGCTCCTGAGAGACAGGAGGCATCCTAAATGGGGTGCCCACTGATGCCCTTTGTCAGGGGTAATTTATAGGGCAAAGTCACAAATGTGGGTACAACATGGGTCAAGTATAATTGACCAATAAGTTATAAATATAGCACTTAGCTAAATGATACAATAGGGAAGCAAGACACATAGCAAGTGTCAATGGCTGACATCATTAACCTTGGCTTATCTATGACTTCTAAAACAGGAACATTTTGGGGAAAGAATGGGTCCAGATGTTCTGGTTACCCACTTGGTTGTCTGAGGCATATCTAGATTTAATGGACTGGTTTGAACTAATTACAGTGTAGTCTCAAGTTCTGCTTATCCCTTAGGAAAGTATGCAAGTCTGGCCTTTGTGACTTTAGTCTCAAGCCCTTGCCTTTCTCAGATGCACCTCCGGCCACAGCTGCGATGTGTCCTGACCTTCTACACTGACTTCCTCGAGGGCCTGTTCCTGTCGGACTACCTATTAATTTCTACATAACTTAGCAGTCTAGAATAGTTTCTTGAAAAATTTTGTAGAACTTTTAGTTCTTTAAGGACAAATTCATGTAAGGAAACAATAACAAAATTTTAAAAAAATGGAAATATTTGTTGTGGCAAAGGTCCATAGGTTTATTGGTCTCACAATCTCTGCATGGTTTGTGTCTACAGAGGTACATCTTTTTGCCTTGCCATTGTGATTAATTCTCTAAAACCCTCAAGGAACAATCTAGAGACAAATTAAACATCACATCGAGTA